GCAGTAACGCCACCTGCTTTCTCTTTAGGCTAAGATTAAAAACTGTTTATTGCTTTTATAGATCTTTTTATCTTATTTAGTCCTTTGCATAATTTTGAACATTGGTTTTTCATGGTACATTCCTTTCACCTTGATATTAAGTGCTTTGTTTATTAGGGAATTATTTGATTTTTCTCTTAATTTCTTTTTTTTAGTTTTATATAAATCATGTAAATCTACTTTTTTTTCTCTAGAAAAATCTTAAGAGGATAGAAAAATAAGTATTGTTCATTCTTCTATGAAATATTAAAATATTTAAGCATTACAAAATTTTTACGACTAAACTTTTAATTTTGGTGCGATGTCCTATAAGGAAAGGTGACGTCACTTTGACTTACTATTTCGCCTTTTCCCCCCTACATCACTACGATTTCGATATATATATAAATCGAATTTTGATCAGTTAATATCATTGGTGATTTCACAACTGTCAATTAAACTCTCATCGCCGAATCATAATTGTTTGAGTGCACAATAACGCCTCTTTTGCCACATTGGCACTCTCGCTAGACATAAGACTGATCACGCGCTCTTTCACATCCTCCATACCTGGCAGAGACAATAGGGTTCTCCCAGATGGATGATGGCTCACTACCTTGCCAAGGTCATGACAAGCCACCGCTAACGTTGTGTCGTCTTTTGTTTGAAGAATGATTGTACCAAGTGCGATTACAACTTCGTAGTCGTTTTCATCAAATCTATGAGCGTTATCAATCCAAAACCTTTCATTTGTGTGAACTGGGCTCCATTCCAGGACACCGGTCAAAACCTCACCACGGTACTCAGAAAAACTGGTGAGGACTTCCATTGAAGACTCTAGCGCGTCTTCAAGTCGCTGTATGAGCTCACTTACGTCCTCATCGCCGAACTTGCGGCGTTTCAACTGTGAGAGGCTTTTGAGCAGTCCAACACTAACCATCTCAGAGACTAGAGAGGCCCCTCTGCGGAGTCTACTGTTTAGTTCCAAACCACCCATACTGACCATGCCACTGACATTCAGATTGCCCAATACATCTATCCGATCATCTATCCATTCATTCGAAAGTGGGTTAAGCATATGAGCAATGTACTTGCGTTCCGCTTCGGCCATGTTCCAAAGAATCATAAGGGATATGCGAATGCATTTTTCTTTTTGAACGCGCTGTAAAACACGGCGAAGTTGCGGGATTATCTTTTCCCTAACCAGACAAACGATGCCTTTGTATTCAAACGAAAGCAACCAAGCAAAGGTAAGGGTTTCGTAAATTAGTTGAATAATACTTCCTGAGTCATCTGAAACGATTTCTGTCAGAAGACGCGGAATGTAAGAAACCATTTTTTCCTTAAAAAAAAGTTCGCGATACTCTTTCCGCCGTGCGATTTGTATACACCCCCGAAGTACAAACTGAACCTCATCTATATGAAGTATGTCGGATGATTGGGCGAAGCGGGCATAAGCAAAAAATGCCGAAAATGCATCAGTGTTTGCTTTGTATTCGCCATAACGGAGAGCTGTAGACGCTAGGTAGAGCGCCGGATTGACAATACTCAGGTCAGTTGGGTTCAATCTCACAAACCGCATGAAGGTCATAGCAGGGTTGGCCCCAAATTGACTAATAAGGTCTGCACGACCTAGCTGGATTGCGAGTATGGGTTTTCGTGATACGATATCAGCAAAGAAGTGGAGTACATAACTAAGAATGTGCGAGGTTTGGGCACTGTTGCATATACGAAAAATGGAAACAGTTATCAGATCCTCCTTGCCAGCGATGAGATATTGTATTAGCCCCTCATCCGAACGGTTAGAAAGGAGTTGCTCCAACAAGATAATGGTGGGCTCATCAAGGAGCTCCAGCCCTCGTATCAGTTTAATGATATCTGCCGCATCGGCTGATATCTCGGGCATATCGTTAAGATAAAATTTTTTTATTTCCCTTCCTTCCCTTTTGTATTGACGTTTTTTCCTTCAAGAATAATTCAATAGAAGTTGCAATATCCAATAGTTCAGAGCTAATTAATTGCATTGTTATTAATAATATAAAGCAAGGGTTATTGACATGGGTTTCTTTGTGACACCAGTTGATAACAATTCTCCATTTAAACCACTGCGTATGTGGTTTTGATTTTTTTTAATGTATGTTTTTTCAATTTAATTTATTGTTTTCTCTCTAGTAGGTTCTGTGATCTCAAACCGAAATTAGATTATATGATGTACTTCAACAATAGCAAAGTAAAAGGAAGAGATAAAAATTCAAATGTGAACCTTTTCACTGTCTTCCTTTTCCACAGTTGCTACTTCTGAAAATACACCAGATCTGATACACAAATGGTTCCTCTGTGTGTTTCCTTTTATACACAAATCTGGTTAAAATACAAGATGTAAAAAATATTGATGCAGTGCTAATATATGCCGCCAAATACCACTCCTTACGTAAAAATGTAGGCAACATTTTGTGTGCATTTTTGGTTTTTATTTGTAATTTCAGGAAAGAAAGGAATAATGTATTAACTTTGCATTCTTCCCATAAATCAATGGGACGAGTAAAATCAGCAAAAATTATAGAAATAATGTAGAAAAATAATACGCAACACACACCATAATATAGCCCCACGCTCTTAAATAGAAGGCGACGGATCTACACACACGTTGGACGTCTTCACATTCTCTCATGTTGCCACATAAGTTTTCGTCCATACAGTGCACGTTGGTTCTCCTCCCGCATCGCACTCATCTCTTGTAACACCTCATCCGGATCCCGATGTCGTGCCATGAGGGTCTTCGGAGAGTGCACCCTGGTCTCATCGTCACTGCTGTTGGGGCGGTGTTGGGCGTAGCGGCTCAAAGGGCTCGCGTGGCGAAGACAGGGGTTCGGCAGTGGGGGCCGCGTGCTGGGCGCCACCCGGCGCCCTTCAACCCCACCCTGGGGATTAATCATCTTGCTCTCCCCCTCCCTTTCCCCTTTCTCCCCGCTTGATCCCACCGCCAGATGAGCCTCATTAGTGGGCAGTGGCGTCAGTGAACGAGGGGGCTCGACGTCCCTAAACAGGCACGCCCCGCGGGTGATCACCTCGGTCGCGAGACGGTTCAGAACCACGGTGGATCTGTTCGTCGTACAGGTGAGCATAGATGCGGCAGTTTCCATCTCTAGAACCATCTCGTCCTCCCCTTCCTGATCCCAGCGTTTGTTGGTATGCAAGTTTAATTTTATAGAACTTTGCCGTGGTGAGATCTTATCAAAATCGCTGTGATCATGGTGCACCAAGGGCGTGGTGTCTTTTTCTACGGAACCTTCAGCCTTGCTAGGCGTGTCGTCAAAGAGTACCTTTTCCTTCAAGATCGCTGTCTCGTCATGATGTTGAGCAAGATTCTCCACGGTGAGGGGAAATCCTTGAGTTGGTGTCAAATTCTGAAGAGTATTCTTCGCTACCTTGTTGAATGAAATTGGCGAGTCATTGTTCTCAGGTTCTAACGAAAGCAACATAGAGGCCTTCCGCCCTGAATGTTCATGATGCCTTGATCTATTCGAATTTGGTTGAGCACTCTGGGAACGTCCAGGACGGAAAAGTTTCCTGTCTTTGCGATTTTGTGGAGGGTTTTTCTCTGTGGAATTTAACAAAAGTGTGCGCTTCAGTGCTTCCAGGCGCATCATCGCCGGACTCTCGTGGGGAATTTTCGCTTGTTTCTTGGAAAATATCAGATGGTTGGATGGCGCGCAGGTGACACTCCCGTCATTTGTGTCCGTAATTTCGTCGCCCATATCAACGGTGCCGGCGCACACCATGGTTGTTTCCTTTTCCTTTCCTAACAACGATGCCCCAACCTGTACGGAGTCAGTTGTGTTATCTTCAGGAAGGAGAATAAAGTCGCAGTATATATCGAGTTTTGTGGGAATAGTGCAAGATGTGTCACCATCACTACTTCTACGCGGGTTCAAACCAAAGTTCAACTCGCCTAACATCACGTGCCAGTCTTCGTCATTCAGTAATGTAATGAAATCTCCATCGGTATCTTGATAGCGAATACGCAGCCTATTCGGATCCGGTGGGGAGGATGATTGCGATCGGTGCATGATGGTAAACAGCTCACAGCACTGTTTGTACAACCTTCTAAAAACGTCATCGAAAAATGTTGTGTCCGCCTTATGGACGTGAACAATTCGCATCTGTGCTTCAAAATGAACTTTTAGCTTTAGTGTAAGCTGCCTCTCTAAAGAAGCCTGCATCTCGGAAGGAACCTGACCTGACAAAATCGATTTTTCAGAGTGACGTAACTGAGCCTCAGGAAACCCAAAAGTACTTTGTTCTGATGGCACACTTTGATGACTGTTTTCGTACTTTCGGATTGTGCAGTCGGTGATAACGCTTCCCGCATCATCACCATTGGCGTTGTGCAGAACTGTGGGATTAGACGCATTCGTGTCCTCGCTCATAGAGGACAGAAATGTTGTGTTGATATCTCCTAAAGTTCGTTCGAGTCCCCGACAAACCAACTCGTGTGTGAACAGCTCTATAAGTCGCAAGCAGGCTTGTTTATACAATGTTACCATCGACTTAGACCACAGGTGTGAGGGCATGTGTGGCAAAGCTACCTCATGGATAGTCATATTGGGTGGAAGCAACTCTACCAGGCCTGTGTGCTGTGTGCTGTGTCGGTTCCTATATTTATCCTTGTTGCTGCTTGTGTCGGCTTCTACAAACTTAGCGACTGCCGCCCGGCAAGAGCTCACGACATTCTGGGCATTAGACGCGTTCTCGGGTAGATGAAGTCTGTGGATGAGTTCATTTGCCTCGTGAATCTGCAGAAACAGCTGCACACCACCGCTAGAGCCCTTTGTTGTAAGCTCCATGGTCAGGGCTTGACGTGTCTTCTCAATTTCCTGCATGTCCAATAAAAGCTGCTCGGCCTCAGAGAGTACCTGCCCTATCTGTTCGTCTACTGATTCCCTAAAATTGCCAAGGTCTAGAACATCTCGACAGGATTTGATGGCTTTTTCTAACTCAGCTATGTATTCAAACGACCTGGGATCCGCTGCGTCTGTGTTAGAAGTCATCTTGCTCCTCTGCATCACGGCCCGCAAAGAGTTCATGGCCTCTTCCTTTTTTTTGAGCACCTCGGCAAGCTCCACGATGGGAATCTCAATCTGCGTTTTGTGTAAGTCTTGAATAGTCTCACCAGATCTCAGGATATCATGTAAGGCTTCGACACCAAATGCCTCCTTCTGCGAATGTGCCAGGGCGGCCTGAACATTACCACTAATGGAAAGCTGGCGGGCTTCTAAAATAATCCGCCTCCAGGAGCGCATTGCTGGCAGCCAGCGCCGTTCTAGCCAAGAAAAAAATGGTCCCTTGATCATTTCCTTCTGAAACTGCACAGACCTCCTCGACGAAGCGTTTTCCAACCTTTTTTTAATACTGTCTTTATGTACTTCGAAGAGATCGAGAACACGGAAAAGATCCCGTTCATGAACAAGTTGACGGAGGAGTAAAATGTGCTGTGTGGTCTGGGTCATGGCATCGATCAGCTCACGACACTCCGTTACGGCCAAGTAGCCCCCGTTGGAGAAGAATGCCTCGCGCACTACGCTCAGTTCGTGTGTTAAGAAGTTGCGTTCGACCGCCTCCACCAGTCCTAGCACCCTTGCCCCACAGTTCAGTGTCTGAAGCTCCAAGTTTCTCAATGACTCGTTCTGAGAAAGATTTAGGTACTCCACTTTGGAGAACCACGACAAAAACATCGTAGCAGCTTCCTGTAGATTTGAGAGCACGTTGCTAGTATGATTTCCAAGGTTTTTTTCGACATTCAAGGGCTTGCACCTTGATTTGGGTACAATGGTGGCTCGAAAAGTGTCAAGATGTGCTGGTGGTGGTAGACCACGCGTGCGATGCGCAAGCGCATCGGAAATATGCTCAATGTAATCTATAACCGCCTCCATTTCCTCGATCTGCTCCATGTTGGTTGCTGTATAGTCAGGGATGATAGAAGGCGTGTCATGGAAAATCGTATCGCCCATACACCTCCCAGCCTCTGTTGGGTCCACACCTTTACCGATCTTCTTCAAATTCGGGTTTGCAGAAAATGAACGTACCAGTGCCATGGGCTGCTTTTTGGAAACTTTTGCTAGTGTGTCTTTAGAATTACGTATCTTGCTATTGTCTGAGCTTATTTCACTCAAGTCCTTTGAGTGTCCAGGCGCAGACGGAGGAACTGCCTGACTGGAGGACTTTTGCTCTTTAACACTGTTCGTAAACTCAACGGAAGCAGACATCGTATTTTCTTTTGATGAGAAATGAACAGAAATAGGTTCGGCAATCTCTAATGCCTTATTTTGGTCCTTTTTTGATGGATGGACAACTTTTGATTTCTTCATGAAATCAGGGGGTTGGCTGCGTCGTGTCTTCACGACTGATGGAGCTAAGATTTTACGTGAGTTCTGAGGTATACAATTAAATTTATCAGAGTTCAAGTTTCGTTTAATGTGGCCCGATGTTAAATTATGTTTTTCAGAGACTGTATCAGACGAGCTGCTGTTGCGCGTGTTACTAATAACATTGGCTGCATCCTTTTTTTCCACGTGTTTAATGCCTGATCTTGAAACGATGGCGGGTTTGTAGCAGTTTTTCTTTGTAGGATCAAGACCTAAGGTTCTCGGAGTTTGATTGACATTTAGATTCATCCGAAGGGGCATTGATAAGGGTCTAAAATGTTCTAAATCGATTCTTTTTTTTATTATTTTAAAGTATACTAAAAATTTCAATCACCTTTTAGGCGGACAAAAATAAGTATACGAGTATATATATAAATATATATATATATATATATGCTTCTATGGTTTACAAAATTCTAACCAGAATATAAAAGAAGATAAACGTGTAAAAAAAGGGCTATATAAAAGGCATTCTCATAAAGAATATTGAAGTAGCGGATAAGCGAAGGGGTCATGTTTAAATAATAGAATAATCAAAAGAGAGAGTAATGAAAAGTAAACCATTCGAAAGATTATCGTTATTCAGTGTACCAAATCTTTAGGTGACAAATGTGCTAGATGCATCAACACAACATTCGCACAAAAAATTAAAGGAATGAAGGGAAGAAAAGTAAATATCGGACAATTCAGAAACAATCTTCAAAGTGTCACAAGTCAAAGTGAAAGAAAGATCTCAAAGCAGTTTGCACAGAGTCCCAGAGACAACGTCATCGCAACATTATTTTCTCACTGGTAGCGAAATACTTTGTTCAGATTTTAAATGGGTGAATAACTGACGTCCCATTTTATACAGCACAGAGAAGAGGAATCATTAAAGTGATTAGGAAGCCCATGCACAAGTATACTTATTTATATGGGTCATATATATGTGTTGATATCTAGAAAGGGTGAAAGAGTACACAATCCATAATAATTTTCACTATCGCAATAAACATCCTCCCACTTCCTCCGCATCCCATGGCTATAGGTCCCCATCATTGGACTCAGTAGCTGTTGAAATGACAACCGGAAGCAGGGACTGGGCCTCCGCATCCTTAACTTCCATCTCCTCCACTTTGGGCAGCTCAAACGGCACGATTACACGCCCCAGTACCTCAGGGTCTATTCCAGACGGCGTCCTGTCCCTTTCTTTCCCCTCAGCAGCAAACGACGCGCGCTGTCGCCACAGCTCAAGTCTCGCTTCCCAGGGTCCCAAAATATAACGATGCAGGGTGCGAGTGACCTTTATGTGAAACACCCCACACTCCAACGGCGAATATGTAGATGAGAGGGTGGAACCATTCCCTCCTCCAAAATCCGGCAGCGGCAGGGAGCAGTCGGACAACACCTGTTGCGCCGTAATTTGTTCGTTAGCCACGTCGTCCAAGGACTCCGTTGAGTCTACAGAAAGACCATCCTCTTCTCGATAAACCCATTCACACTTCGCTTCTTGAATGGCACTGCAACAGAGGCTATAGCCTTGACTGTTATAGCCTTTGTAGGTTATCGCAGTTCCCCGTTCTAAAGTGGAGCGAAGCTCAAAGGTGTACCGCCAGGGGTCTTCAGAGTCCAGCAACCCCGTCTGTGCAGCCGAGGCTGAAGTTGCCATGACGGGATACCTCTTCAGGTTCCCCACACTCTGTTCGAAACGCTCTGAAGCATCTTTAGCCAACCGCGCGACGATGTTAAACTCCACATTGCAAGTTAAAGGCTCCTCAACGCGTTCACCAGATGATTGAGGTGGCGTCAGAATTTCACAATGAACCCTCGTGGAGGCGTTTTCAATTTGGAAATAGTGAAAATCACAGTTTCCGTGAGCCTCAGAATCGCCAATTCGCTTTAAGGAACTCATTGTTGAGAAGGGTCTCTGACAACGAAAGCCTTTGAACTCACGCGATGAGGTGAAATTAGAACCATCTTCCAGGGAACTTGCATGCAGAGATGCTGGGGATGCAAGAACTAGAACAACAAGGACTACAAACAGAAAACTTAGATTCATTAGGTGTATTTTATAGAATATTTTTAAAATATCTGTTTATACACATAAATGATATAATTACAGGCCTACTCATTTTTTTCAGGAAAAAGGTACATAAAAATATCATTGGTCATAAGCAACAATCCAAAATAAAACTATAATGTACACAACATAACTAAGAGAGACATATATATATATACTGAATTAAGAGTAAATTATTTTGGCATAAGTATATACAGCAGAGATAATCAATTGACACGAAACTTTTTGAATCATACTACTCTTTATGACCACCCCAAAAACTGCTGTGGTATAAATAAAGTACATAAAATCACACGAATTTAAATAACGTCAACCATTTCATCATAAAGATATTTGAAATGCATTCTGTGCCGCAATCCAACTTCCCCTTCTCCCTCCTCCC